ATTCTCCTTCTCTGACTATGGGTTCCTTTTCTTATTGGAGGTCCCTACTCATCCTAGGCAGAAAATGGCCCTGAGACATCCCCTGCACTCACAGAACTGGAGCTGGCTTGCAGGCACTGGTCATTCACCACTGTGTGTCTGCTTTCTGCCTCAGTAGCCACGTGTTAGGGTCATTTAAATAACTTCATGTTTTCTTCCAAACTTGACTCCATTCAGTGCTTCTGACTCAGGGTGCAGCACTTGTATTTATGTTCATTCTGTGTTGAAAATTTATAAAGCAAAGTTCAAAATGTCAACTCCTTCCTCATTCACCCTCCCCTGATTACCAAATCCTCTAGGGTCTATAGGAAAAACTTCCTGAGGTCTCCTCTTTCCTGTCTCCAGTTTTGTCCCTAGATTCTAGATAAGATAATCTCTATTCTTGGAAGCAGCGATTCTTATTTCATCTGTTTGACTATGCCCAACAGTCAGATTGACCCATGTAAATATGCAGATCAGGTCAAGTCAGGTCAGGTCTCACCTCTCTCTTCCCCCACCTCCAAACAGAATACATCAGTGCTCTCCAGTGTTCTTGTGGTAAAGCATAACACCCGTGCCAAGATCTACAAAGAATTTCTTTCTCTCTTCCCCTGTTGTCCCATCTCCAAGGCTTTACTTTCTCCTTTGTCTGCCAGGTATTTGTCCTCCATTAGACTCTCAAAGCCCAGATGAGACAATTAATTTGACTTTTCAATCTTAGCAATGGGTCAAGCAGTGGGTGAGTTTGCTATGGTAGGAATGAGTATATGCTGTGAATTTCTTGCTCTTAATTAGGATTTCAGAAACAGTGTGAAAAATCATGGGCTTGTTTTCATGGAGGTGCTTTGCAATTGGCTTCCATGTCTTCATAAAATTTACACAAAACCATCTCCTGTCCCTGTGGAAAATGAAGTTCCTTCAAAACAAGCAAAGACGAATCTACAAAAATAATGGAGAGGAGTTGTGTCGCCATGGCTTGACCATATATGGAGACAATGGAATTTTTCTGCCTTCTGCAAAGGATGCAGTCACAGGCTGGGTAAGAGACTTGAGGTCTATTGTATAACAAGGAGACAAAGAGGCAATACATGTGTTGCTTAATCCAGATCTTTACAGCAGACTGAGACTATTTCCCATTTGTGTATTTGTGGAAGACTTGAAAATACCCCTTTTGCCCCATATCAGTAGAACCCGTGCATCTTACCTTATTTGCAAAAAAAGACTTTTTACAGATGTGATTAAGAATTTTGAAATGGAAACATTAATTCAGATTATCCAAGGGGTACTAAATATAATCACTAGTGTTCTTACAAGGGAGAGGCATGGAATATTTGACACACAAATACAAGAAAAATCAACAGAAAAGCAATGCAAAGCAAAAGTGATGTGGCCCCAAGCCAGAAGCTGAAGAGTCAAGGAAGAGTTTGCTCTTAAAGCCATCAGGTCCCCTCATGACACATCTTTTGAGTGCACTGATTCTCATTCCAGGCTTCTCAGAACTCAGAAAGAATTAATTTCTGTTGCTTTCGTTCACCAAGTTTGTGGTGATTCATTACACCAGCCTCAGAAAACTTCTGTACATTATGATGCTTGAGAAGAACTCAGCATGAAAATCCATGTACTTCATTAGACGCTACTCCACACTCCTCTGTCTTCACAGCCTTCCTCCTGCTTGCCTTTGTTAAATGAAGACTCATCTATATAATCTCCATCTCACCTTGAAAGGAGGACAGATTTAATGACTTACTGTCTAGTCCACCTCTTCTATGCAATGTGTTTACAGATTTATATGGAAATCTACTTGAGTACTTGAACACAGGCATAGTTCTGCCCCTCAAAACGTCCATCTTCCACTTTGTATCACAAGTAGAGTAATTCCATACCACATACAAAGACTTGTCAACCTGTAGGATGAGTAATAGCACTCTTTTTCATTGTGAATTGTTCCGCAGTATTTCAGTTATCCCACCTGGAACATCCTGAGCACATCTATAGACAGAAACATTGTGTGGAAGCATAAGTCAAGGACTGTGTTAGTAGGTTCAATTCAACTTAGAATTCAGAGCACGAGTCCTGCTCTGAAGGATCTTAAAATTGAATGAGAACAATAGATGCATAAAAATCTATTCCCATACAGTGTGCTACCATCTGGGACAAGCAGGAACAAGAGGCTTTTAAAGTGGAGAAGGGGAAACAAAACAGTACACAAGAACTGGAGAGAGTGAGGGCAGCCTTGGGCTCACTGCACTTGTAAGTACTTGTCTGGCAGAGAACAGGAAGAGTATTTTAAGCAACATGCAAAGCAATGGCAAAGGTGGTGAGGGTGACTACTGAATTAGCAAAACTGGCCCAGATACTGCAGAAGAGCTCCCACTTAGATGGAAGAACTTCCAAAAGAAGCTGATGTTTGAAAGTTTTCAGCACAGTTAGAAGACTGAATATAAAGTAAAATGGCCTTTATTTTAAGAATGCAGAGAGAGACTCCATGACCTCTGGGGTCTGGCTTTCTCTCTGCCGGACACGTGGTGTGGGGGCATAAATGTAGCTTAAGTGTGGGGTGGAGCCTAAGAGGCATTACTGATGCACAGGTAGCTTATTGGAATTCATTTCATGCCACAGGTAAATTGTTTAGGGGCAGGGAAGGTGACCTTTCACTTCTCAGCCTCCCACGGCTACAGCATCCCCTCCAGGGCAAAATCCTTTCAATGTTGAAAAATGAGTTTTCAAAGATGCAAGGAAAATTATGAGCCATCTCAGGATTTGTGTCCTGCAATCGATTTGCAAAAGGGTAACATGGGAAAGTTGATGAAGACGAGGTGATTAAAATCTAATAAAGGGCACTCACACTTACGGAAGATTGACTTAGCTGGCTTTTATTAAAGAATATCCTTCCAATATGTGTTTAAAACTATCACAACATCTGTGTATTCTATCTTGAGGATACAGCCTCAGAACCCAAGAATAATTCTTCTGAGAATCCCAAGAATAATTCTTCAGAGAATCTATCCTAAAAGAACAACACGAAGTGAAGTCAGATGTCATACATGAAGTTGCTCCCTGCAGCCCTGTGTATTATATGAAAACAAGGAAATAATTTGTGTATTCAAGAAAAAGTAAATGGCTAAGTCTTGGTTTCTAGAACTCATGAGGGCCCACCAGAAAGTCCAAATCAGAAACATGACTTTTGTCTGTTTCTAAAACTTGAAGTAAAGTTCTTATTGAATTATCCATTTTAAAGTGATTTTTAATATATGCAGAATTGGGTAATCATTATCTCTATGTAGCTCCAAACATTTCTGTCACCCCAAATGGAAACCTGTAAATATTAAGTAGTTATTCCCTATCCCATTCTTCCACAGTCTTCAACTATTAATCAGTTGTCTCTATGACTTACATTTTCAGCACATTTCATGTAGGTGGGATCATACATATGGATCAGGCATATATCTCACACAGAAAAGTGTTTGCAAGATTCATCCAGGTTGTAGTGTGTATCAGTAAGCATTTCACCCATCTTTATGGATCAATAATATCCCATAGCATAGAGAAAGCATCTTTTTTATTATTTTAAAAAGGATAAAACAAAATAAAACCAATCAAAATAAACCAATGTAAGAGATACAGGACCTTCAAAACATTACAAAATCAACAATGATTTTTGATGTCTTCAAAATAGCTGCAGATAACTTCAGACATAGTAAAAATCAAACAGAACAGAATAGAATAGAATAAAAACAAAACAATAGAATAGAATAAAAACAAAACAATGAATGCAATATATTAACTAGGGTTAATTCCCTATAATTTTTTCTTTTTTAAAATTCTATATAATTTTTATCCTTTTTTCTGTTTTGCTTTGGAAATTAAAAAACTAATGAATGCAATAAAGGACTTCAAAACAAGCATATGGTAAATCCAAAATTGCTACCATAATATATCTCACTATCTTTTAAATAGCTGCTCCTGCCATTATATTTGACATAACCAATAAAAAGAAAAAAAAGAAAATCCAACCCAACAAAACAATGGAAATAACATAGGACTTTCCAAACAAAATCAGAGGAAATCAACAAAAGCTACAATCCTCAGAAGGAAATGCGCCCTAGTGTACCGCTATCCTCTGAACCTATGATCAGACCACTGGCCCTAGCTTTGTAATGTTAGTGAAACACCACAGCACCACAGGCATCCAATTGCATTTCACCTCCATAGCTATCATCACAGCCTGTGCTTCTCCAGATAAGCCGGTCTCTTATGGCAGAGGTGGGGATGGGGGAGAGTAGATACTTCTTCTTTGCCACGCGCTAGAAGGGGCTGGGGTCTATTTGTTCCAGTCTGACAGGGTCTGCACATGGTGCTGGTTCCCAGCCTGGGCTTGCTGGCTGGTGTGGCTTTGTTCTTTCTACCCCCAGTCCATGAATGGCACTGAGTCATGGGGAGAGTCTTGGGTCTGTCTTCCAGTCTGGCAGCAGCCTGCTCATGGTTCCCAGACTCCGAGAGACCATATTTTATTTATTAACGTCACTTCATTGATATTTGTATCATTTCTACCTTTTTGCTATTTTGAATAGTGCTAATGGGAGCATTCATATACTGGGTTTTTTTAAGTATCTCTTTTCAATTATTTTAGATATTTGGCTGGGAGTAAAATTACTAAATTGTCAAGTCTTTGGAAAATTGAACCTTAGCTGGACTACACAGCTCAGTGTGGATTCAGTTCCAGCCACTCCCTCAGATTTGGTGCCCAAATTCACACACCCACAGTAAACTCCCACTGTCCCTTGACTGCATGCCTCTTGGGGATGTGGCCAGTCTTTTCTGGTCTCTGGACAGTTTCATGCTCATGGAAAATGATTCCATAGAATGGGTAATAACATAGGAAAATGCTGTCATTATAGGGTGAAGGTGATGCCCAAGTGATAGGATACAAAATACTTTTTCATCAAAACGGTCTATATCAGACTCGGACTTACCAACATGAGTTATACTTCTTTTTTATGGGGGAATACTTACAAAACAATTGTGAAAACCTTTCCAAACACAGGCTGGCAATTGTTCCCCTTTCTCCATGTTTATGAGATTCTTTGTTAAGAGCCAATGTAAAGTTTTATGGAGAGCTTCTTAGGAGGACATGACTGAGCTCAAATACCACATCAGCCACTTCCTGATGAGTTTCCCTGGGCAGGTACTGACCATAGTAGATGTTAATGAATGTTGTCCTTACTAAATCCAAATAAATCTGGTATTTCCTTGATTTTTTAAAAAAATTCTGATCAAAAACTTACCACATGAAGACTACTATCACAAGACCAGTTGTATCTTCCTGGTCCTTCACCTAGAATCTGCTTCCTTATGCCCAAGGATCACCTTCTTAGTGACTCTCTTGGCCTTATCATTAGCAGAGTAAGTTCCTTATATAGCATCTCATTTCTTTTCTTCAAAGCATGCACCTCACCTTGTAATTATTCCTTTGCCCTCTTGGTGAATGTGCATCACTTCCCTTGACTCATTGAGGACAAAGATCCCATCCACGTACCTGATGCCTAACTGTGCCTGGCACAAAAGTAGATGCTTAACAAATACGCATTGAATGAATGAGTAGAAATCAAAAGATTGGTGCATCTGTCCTGATCTTACTTGGCTTACAATCTTGTGTCACACTTTTTAAAGCTATCAGGAACAGGTTTGAAAAGGAGGGTCCCCCAGCACTTGTTCTATACAACTTAGCATGCAGTAGCTGCGACACCCATTCCCTTCTGTGCACGTGTCACTGTTGAATCTCAGGAGGCCAACCACATTTCCCCATCACTCACCTAGCATAACAGTGGCAAAGGGCGAGTCAGAGACCTATTGAGAAGTGTCTGTAGGTAGGAGCCAGCTGCCATGCTGATCTGCACTGCAGACATCTCAAGAGAGACGGGGAGGAGGCTCTTCTCCCCAGCATCGGAGTCCCTGCCAGCAGCATGCAGAACACACAGGAACAAAGCAGTCATTTTTTGTTCATTTAACTAGCTGGTCTTTCCTCAGTGTGTGTGTGTGTGCGTGTGTGTGTGTGTGTGTGTGTGTGTGTGTGTACGTGTGTGTGTGTGTGTGTGTGTGTGTGTGTGTGTGTTTCCTGCTGAAAGAAAAGCAAGAAAATATAATACTAAAAGAGCAGAACTTGGAACCAGATGTGCTGAATCCAATAACGTATTCATGTTTTATGCAACAGGTTGATAGCTAAAGCCTACTTTATACCTTGACACTGTGCTGTGTGCTGGAGAGTCAAAAATAAATACTTTGTCTCTTTGATTCTTTAAAAAAAATTGGAATTAATAATGACTAGCTAGAGAAAATCCCTGAGCCAACATGTAGGAGCAATGGAGCAGATTCTTATTAAGAATTTCTGTAGCTGTCTTTCACAAAAAGGAACACGATTTCAGAGAGCATCCCTCGAGTTCTTTCTCCCTCATTCCTTCCTTATGCTCCATTTTACACTAGAAATTCCCTTGGGACCATGCCTCCCTTCTCCACTCAGCTTTCTGGAGGAGATCCTTGCTTCCCTGTCTCCCATCTGCCGTCTCTGGCTGCTTCCTGCCAGCATTCCTTTCGCCCACCCTTGCTGGCTCTGGGGCCTCTGGGCATCCTAGAAGTTCTGAAGCCAGGCTGCTGGCATGTAGCAGGCGGATCTGCCCATCAGAATGCCAACCTGCTAAGTGGAGGTCACAGCACAAGTCTATTTTGGACGCTGCAGGCCAGGAGAGCTCTCCACGTCTGGTGCATATGAGAAAAGGGAGGAGGGACCTGGTCTGGCAGGTATCTCAGGGGGAAGCGGGCCAGTGCCAAGCAGCCCTGGCAAAGCATCAGTTTTAGAAATGGGTTTCCTCTTACAGAAGAACAAAGGAAAGATGCAGACAGCTCAAGATGGCAGTGGGGGTGGGGAATGGGAGGAATAAGCATTGTGGGAGGGAAAGGGAGACAAAGGGAGACCAAAAGATGCTGGACTGTGTGTGCGAAGAACAGAAATGCGCTGCATCCCCAAGACTTGGCAAGTCTGACAGATGAGGTTGGGAACAGGATGGAGAGCTGCTGCCCCTCGTGTTCCCTCCCTGGTCAGAGAATGTTGGCCTGAAAGTTCTTATCCTTTTAAAATTCAGGAGAGGGATGTGGTCCTCCTTAGCCTCCTTAAGAATAAGATACAACCATGGAAGATGAACTCTCCAAACGTCCTTTCTGGCTGTTCTGGTTAGCAAATCACAGCTCATTTTTCACAGAATTGTTGAAATTCCTGGGCCCTGAGAGACAGAGCCCACCTGTGACTCAAGCTGCTGACAGGGTAGAGGTCTCCAGTGATTGTACACGGTGTTTTGGGCACAGGATACTTTGGTAGCAAATAGTGATCAGGGATGTTCTGCAAAAACATCTTAATATATCCATGGGTGAGCCATTACTCAGGGAGAAGTTAGAGTGAGATAGGAGAGTGGGAGAGAAGTGGTTGAAACATTAGGAAGGATGGCATAAGGACCCAGGGGAGAAAGGTCAACTGAAGTTCTTAGAGTTCTAAGACCATTAGTGTGAAGAGTGAGGTTGGGACCGGCAAATTAGGGCACAGGCCTTGTAGGCTGCGTTCTATCCTTGGCCAAGGATTCAGCATTGATCTCTGCTTATAAATTTGATGAAATTAATGATATATGCATATGCATTATGTGTATATATGTCTATGTATATGCTTATGTGAAAATAGGTGTATCTATTTGCAGTCATTTGTACTTGTGCATTTTATATGTATTTAAGTATTGTACATACAGATATGCTTCTGTGTATGCTTCAGCCCAGCAGATAACAACTTTCCTGCTTTGGAGCTGTGGTAACCAGATTCAGGTAGAAAGGTCACACATCTGCTCAGATATGTATGCTTTTCTATTACTCTGTTACGGATAAGTACAGGAAAAAGGTTCGTAAAGGATCCTGTTGCTCTTACAGTGAAATACAGATGTCCAGACTCATCTCTTACCTGCTGTAGTCAGAGCTCACAGAACCCAGAAATGAGTGAAGGCCAAGAAAAGACAGGGAGAACTATCTCCGCATATGTACAATCACATTTCTGATGACTTTCCACGTCACTGCAAGGGACAGCCAGCTCCGAGCCCTGACTTTGATTTCAGGACAATGAAGCTTGTTTGCCCATCTTGATTCAAGTAGCCAATTGTTGGTCCTATTTCAGATTCTGCACCTCTCTTATCTCTTACCTGGAGTTTGGGGAGGTGAGGAAACATCAAGGTCAGTGCCTTTCTAGATGTGATCCTACAAATCCAGCCTCAGCGTTCTTATCTATTATCTGTGCAATGGACCCTTTTGGCAGTCAGCTCCTGGAATTCTCAAGAAAAAACAAATTTTAAATTCATAAAATTGACAGGGTTACAAAGGAGATAATTATTCTAAAATACAGTCACAAAATTTAAAACTGTAATAGTAACATATGTGTATCTTTTTAACACATCAAATAACAAGATCCAGCAACAGGCATAATAGCTATTCTCATTGCAAGGTAGTAAAGAGTATAAGTGTTGTTTTAAGGTATCTCCTACAATTATGCTGTGATATTAAAAATACTTTTGATTTCCATTAGTGATAAAATCAGAGGCACTATTAATGCTACTGTGATGCACCTACATTCATAATTGTAAAAAATGGTAAAGTCCAATTACAGAGAGGGTCGTCAAACTGTTTCTGTAGGTTTAAAGAAAAAAGTTTTTCCTTCCACTGTACTCTCACTACTAAATGCTCTAGTGGCCAGATGTGTGGGAGTTTTCTCACTGATGAATTCTCTGACACAAGCTGGGTGTCTTACAATTGAAGTCAACTCTGGCTCTGTTCACCTGGACACAGTGCCGTACCCCACATGCTCAGGGCTCAGCCCCACCGTACTGCCCTCACTTCAGACACCAACTTCAAGGAGGTAGTCCCACGTCACCCATGATGACGTTCACTTTGGTTACAAATCTGAGGTTCCCATGATCTCCTTTCTGGGCCCCATAATTTGTTAGAGTGACTCACTGAACCCAGGAAGGACCTAGTTCTTGTTTACTAAGCCAGGAACTGTGAACACTGGAGTTAAGGGATTTCTATGGTGGTCCCATCACACAGATATGGTCATGTATTAACTCAAGCTCCAGCCCTCTTCCCTTCCCAAAAGACAGGATAGGATAAAAATTCCAAGTTCTAACCATGGATTGTTTCGCCTTGTGAGCAGCCCTCATCTGGGAGCCCACCATCTGGGAGCTTCGTTAGAAGAGAAGATGTTCCTATCACATTGGGAATTCTGTGAGTCATGATCTCTATGTTACCATGTAAAAGAGAACAAAAGGTGCTCCCAGCACCCCTCCTGCTTATATAATTCCAAGAGTTTTAACAGTATTGTGACACAAAACAGTGATAAAGACTAAATGATATGTTTCTCTTTATTGTGAGCATGTTTTTACAGTGCATAATATTACATTGTTCTTATGGACATGGCACATAGACTTACTGCATCTTAATCATTTTACTTCCCCATCCCTCCCTTCCCATTCCTGCTCCCTCCTTCCCAGGTTCCTTTTTCTTATATAAGAGACACAAAGTGATATTTAACCTTCTATGCTGACTTACTTCACTTAGAATTATGACCTCAAGATATATCCATTTTCCTACAAGTGACACAAATCTGTATGCTCCTTTATGGTGGAGTAGTTGTCCATTGTGTGTGTATGCCATATTTTCTTTAACTATCCCTGTATTTAGGGGCATGTAAGTTGTTTCGATAATTTAGCAATTGTGACTTGTACTGCTATAAACATGGGAATGTATGAATTACAGTAATACAATGATACTCAAGACTTTAATTCTTTTGGAAAGCTATCCAGAAGAGGAATATCTGGGTCAAATGGAATTTCTGTTTTTAATGTTCTCAGGGATCTCAATTTCTGTAGTAGTTGTAATAATTTACATTCTGACCAACAATGTAGAAGGATTCCTTTTTTCCTTATCATTTGGTTTTTCATGTGTATGTTCTCAATGATACCATTCTTAGCTGGAGTAAACTGGAATTTTGGTGATATTTTGATTTACATTTCTCTAATGTTCAAAGATGCTATGCATTTTTTCATGTACTTATTGGCAATTTATGATTTTTCTTTTGAGACATGTCAATTCATTTAAACTACCCATCTTTAACTGGATCTTTTTTCTCATTAATAAATTATTTTATTAGTACATATTTGTAGCAAATAATGTTTACACTGCCTGTGGAGATCTGGTACATGTACATAATACATCTGAATTCCTTTTTCTATGCCCTTTCCTTTCTCTTCACTCAGCCATATCTTGATTCCTTTCCTTTCTTGGTACATATTTTCACTACATAGTAGTTACAGTCTTTTCTATCAGGAGACTTAATTTTTTTTACTTTTTTATATATTCTAGATATTAATCTTCTGCATGAGGAATAGCTGGAAACATTTTTTTTCCATTCTGCAAGTTGCCCACTCTCTTTGTTGGTAGTTTTCTTTGCTGTGCAGAAGAAATTTAATTCAATATAATTACATTTGCTGATTCTTGATATTATTTCTCGTACAGTCAGGGTTCTGCTCAGAAAGCCATTACCTATGCATATGTCTTCAAGAATTTTAGTTAATTTTTCTTTTGGCAGATTCAATGTTTATGCTTTTATATGTAGGACTTTGATACAATTTGATTTTATTTTAGTTTAGAGTGAGAGATGAGGTCTAGCTTCATTTTTTTTGCATGTGGACAACCAGCTTTCCTAGCACTATTTGTTAAAGAGCCTATCTCTTCTCTGATCCCCTGTTAGTCCCTTTATCAAAAATCAGATGGGTGGAGGTGCATGGAGTTGTTTCTGCATCTTGTTTTATTCCACAAGTCAACAAATCTTTTCCATCAATTTTCTGTGCCAATATCATGCTGTTCTTACTACTGTAGCTTTATTGTATAACTTGAAATGTTGGATAGTAAAACTTCCTGCTCTGTTCTCGTTGCTCAGGATTTCTTTGACTATTCTGGGTCTCTTTGGGTCCCATATAAATTTTAGGAATTGTTTTCTAGTTCTGTGAAGACCATTATTGGTATTTTGATTAGAACTACATTAAATCTATATATTATTTTTGCTAATATGGTCATTTTGATAATATTGGTACTACTTATTCAGGAACAGGGGATGTTTTTCTATTTTCCAATGCTCTGTTCAATCTCTTTTTCAAAGAAAGCTATAATTTCTATTATACAGGTCCTCTATGGTGGTCCCATTACTCATATTATCCTAAATGAAAGCATCCCATATTTGAGATGTTGATGTCCTGTCACTCAGCTGTAAATCTCAGGAGGACAAATTGGGGATCGTCTTCGTATAAGGAGGTGGGAGGCCACTCTATGCATCACATAGTCCTTTTTGCTTCCCTTTTGTTGCTGTACTGGAGATTGAACCCAAGGCCTTTGCACTGAGATACGTCGCCAGCCCTTTTACTTTTTAAAACATGGTATCACTAAATTGCTAAGTTGCCAGGCTGGAGTGAAATTTTCAATTCTTTGGACTCAGTTTCCCAGAGTGCTAGGGTTATAGGCATGCACCATCATACTCAGATGAATCTCATGGTCTTTGAGGACAGAGGGGTTTTGGTAAGATTTTTTTTGCTGAATTGTTTAAATCTAACTTGGCAACCTTGAATAAATACTTACACTTCTTAGAAGAATGGTAAATCCTAAGTGAGGGTGAGGCATTTATATGACAACAAAGAGAAAGCTCAAAGACAGACAGAGAAAGAGAAAGAGACACAAAGACACAGAGAGGAAGATAGAGGCTTCTTAATACAAGCAAAAAATAAACAAACCTGCATCCACTCTATCTTCCAGGAAACAAGAGCAGTCCAAAGTCAGAGGCCCAAAGGCTCCCAGGAAAGCATTCAGTGCAGACCAAGGTGGAGGTGGGGTGAAGTTGCCTGCTGGGCCAGCCTTTGGAGACTGTCAGCAAGGATTTCTCCAATCCCTCCGTCTGCCATCTGTGAACTCACCCATCTGCTCTTTTGGTTCCTTCTCAGCAGGGTACCCTTGCATGTGTAGAGAAAAAAAAAAAACATGCAGAAGACACTAATTTTAGATTTTGTGAAAAGGAATGCAGAAGTCTGTCTCCCCAGCCTGTCTTCCCTTCTTCTCTCCCGAGTCCTGCTTGGGATTGCTTTGCACTTCTCCCTGTTCCTTCTCTAAGACTTGTTAGGATTTACTCTGCATATGTGAGTGTCTAGCTGTCCTGCATATCTCTCTGAAATACTGCGCGCTATCCATACTTACCCTAAAGGTCTGAAGACACAGAATAACTTTGGCATGGACAGAGGTTGGCGTAAAAGATGAAGCGTGAAAAGAGGACTAAATTTGGATCACGAGTCTTAAGTTTGAATCTGAAGCTTTAAAGCTATGTGGCGTGGGCGAGTTGCCTAACATCTCTGAATCCTTTGTCTTTTTTTCATCTGTGAAATGAGATTAATGATACCAAGCTTATAGTTTGTGAATTTAGGATATAAAACACAAAAGTGGCATTCTTACCTGTATGTGGAAGCTGAAATTGTTAACCTCATAGAACTTATGTATAGTAGGGTCACTAAAGGCCACCAAGTTGTGGGCAAGGAGTCCGAAAGAAGCTGGCTTATGGGTGCCAGATACAGTTAAATGGATGGAATTAATCCCAGTGTGCTACCACATCAAAAGGTCACTATAGCTTACAAGAATCTACAATATTATCTATAATAGATTTTAAAGTAACTTAGAAGATGAGAGTTTGAAGTTTCCCAGGATACCAATCATAAATGTTTGCAAAGATAGAAATGCTAATTACTCTTATTTCATCATTTATACATATGCACAAATGTGTTACGATTAAATTTTAAAAATCAGTTTAAAAGAAAAACACAAAAGTGCTGTGTTGGTCTGCTTTCTGTCACTATAAAAAAGTACCTGATATAAATCACCTCCATGGAGGGAAGGCTCCTTTTGGCTCATAGTTTTAGAGGCTTCAGTTCCTGGTCAAACAGCTCCATTGGTTTAGCATCTTTTCCAAGAAAGAACCAGCATGGCTGAAGGGAGCAACAGAGGAAGACTGCTCACTTCATGGAAGTCAGGAAGTGCAGAGACAGAGTCTTAGAGGAAGGGGCCAAAGACAGTCTACAGTCTCCAAGGTTTCACCTCCAAGTCTCATTCCCTTTAACTGGGCCCCGCCCCCAAAGAACCCATCCAGCTCGGAATCCATCCATGGATAAATCCATTGATGAGGTTAGCACTCTCATGATTCATTACTTCCCAGAGCCCCATTTGTTTTTGTGGTTGTTGTTTGTGTGTTTGTTTTAAGGTACTCAGGATTGAACCCTGGCCATCCACACTGAACAACATCCCCAGCCCTTTTAGTCAGTTTGTTTGTTCATTTTAAATTTTGAGACAGGATCTCTCTAAACCTCTAAATTGTGCAGGCTTATGATCTTCATGCCTCAGCCTCCCAGAGTGCTGGGATCACAGGTGTGTGCCACCAAAACTGGCTCCAAAAGCTCTACTGCTGAGCACTGCTACTTTAGGAACTGAGCCTGAAACAAAATGAGCCTGGGGGAGGGGGGATTATATCCAAACCATAGACAGCAGAGGCCACTTCTTAGGATATAGTAAATTTCAATAAAGTTATTTTCATTTCCCTTTTTGAAAAGCATTATTTCTTTTATTCTTTCTTGCCTTTTTCAAATTCTTCCTCTTTCTCTTTTCTTCTGTGTTAGTTGCATGTCACTGAGATGTGCAGCTGGTTCTACGCTAAGAGGAAGAGGTAACTGGTGGATCCCTCAGGATCTGCTCCTAACACCACATACACATGATGATGCTCTGGTCTTGCACACTGCTGTGACATCATTGTCTTTATGTGTCGGTCTTACCTCCTCTCCAAATAAGGACTTGAGGGACTTGAGGGACTCCCACTTCCCAGCCCAGATAGTGGCAGTGGGCCCAGCCTATCCAGTGAGTTGTCTCTGAGGAACATACTCTTCTCTATGCTCAGTGTGGGTCTGCTGGTACCAACCACAGACCACCACAGATGTTGTTCTGATGTTTTACAATAATGCAAGTATGGCCCAAGGGCAGAGCCAGGTACAATGCCAAGGGGAAAGTGAGAAGAAACACATTTTGCAAGAAAGTAGTTTTACTCATGCATTCCTGTCTGGATCTGTAATATGGGGTACTGGGTTGGGGCTCCCTGCCTTTTAAGGGCTGAGGAAGAAGCCTGGCTGGATGAGGGTTTTGATTCTCTGGCAACCACAGGTCTGGTGACAGCTCTGCCATCGTCTGCATGTGCCCTTTCATGCTGCCTCCACCTCATGCCTCCGTTTCCTTCTCTTTAAACACATGGATGCTAGGCACAGTGGCACATGCCAGTGATCCCAGAACTCTAGGTGGGTAAGTAAGGATTGTAAGTTTGAGCCCAGTCTGGGCAATTTAGCAAGCCCCTGTCTTTAAAAAATAGAAATGTGGGGCTACAACACACACACAAAGAAAATATGCTGAAAAATACCCTTACAGTCAGCAGCACTGGGTAACGTGAGCCCTTAAAACCATTTCCGAGGAGAGTATGCAGTGAACATGGCTGCTAGTGTTAAGTCTGCTCCTACAAATGCACTATGAAAATAAAGCTCGCATTCTCTTGTGCTTCAGCTGACTTGTCTGAAGCCCTGACCAAAGTGGAAGGCAGGCTGGTTCTGTGTCCCCACCACAGGCTCTGCTGCTGTGCAGCTCTGGGGGGCACACGGGCTCAGCAGGTCACAGGCAGCAGCAGTAGTGGTCTAGTTTTATTGTGTTTATTTGGTGGCTCCAAAGGAAGGCACTACTTGTGTACCAGCTATCTGACATAAAGAATATTCCAGGGAGTCCTGTGATGTCCTACAAGGCATGTGCTAGGCCCCCAAGTGGAGTGAAGGACCCACATAGCTCCTTCCAGCTCTTAGAGTCTGGAACCTGGACATTGCTCATAGTCACAGGGATACTACAGGGAAAACTAGTTGTACCTGAAACTCCTCCAGTATCACTGCCTCCATCCCTGCCACAGGACTCATGCAGTAGTCCACTGAGTTTGTTTCTGTTTAATTCAAAAGGACATGGGAGTAATCTTTAAATAATGCCAGCCACCCATTCATATATACAATGCTTTGCAGACTGGACAGCATCTTCCTCTATGTCTATTTTCTTTTCCCTGGTCACTTGTTCTGTGGTTTTTATAGAGTGACTACTATGTGTTGGCCATTGGGTCCATCTAGAGAGTCCAAAAAAATGGGATTCTTACTCTGCCATTTAAAAATGTCACTCCAAAACTATTAAAATGAAAAGGACTCCTGTCCTGATTCTAGTTACAGTTCCCCCTCATCCAACCCTCCATTTCCACTTTCAGCTAAATATGCACTCTTACTCAGGAGCAATGCTTCACTGCTGAATGTGATGCTGGCCCCTTTTCAGACTTTGGCTTCCTGCCCTTCTCTTGCTCTCTTCGCTCCAGCTGATTGGGCAGCCACTGTTGCTTTTTCTTCCAGCCTCACACCCTACTCTGATCCTCCGGACCTCTGGTCAGGAACACACTCACCACAGCCATTTATTCCATATGGTGACTCCCTCTCATCCTTCAAACTCCAGCCCTCAGCCATTGCTCAACTAAACAGCCACCCACCTCTCACTTCCCACCGAGCACTTAACAGTTGATGATCATTTATTCATTGACATATATCTGTGTCACTGGAGGTCAAGTTCCTTAAAGACAGACCTGAACCAGGCTGGCTCACATACAATCACATCAAAAGCCATCAGCATCTTCTGAACAAATGAGAGAAACATAACAAAAATAAGCTCCCACTACAGTGGGGACACAGAGAAACACACCCTGTGTTCTACAGGAAGGGAAAGACTGTGTGATCCTTGCAGGAACCCTGATTTATTTACTCTCATTTACCTAATGAACAGTGGACATGCTGTAGAGCTTAATTCCTGGTCTGAGCAGGAACAGAGCCAGAGATTCTGACTGTCTTCTGGATACATATGGTGGCAGACTTAAATCAGGTAGACCTGTGGACCAATTGCATGTCCAGTGATCACACCCTGGGATCCAGCCTCATCTTGTAGGCAGCCAGCCGCCTGCTGTGACTCCTGACAACACTGCCAAAAGCAGTCAGTTATTACAAACTCACTGCTGCCAGGAATACTCAGGCATTTTGCATATGGTACTCTCCTCATTTTCAGATAAAATAAATCTGAATGATCAACATGAGCCCCAAGTAGTTCCCCAGATCTAGTGAGAGGTGAATAGGTTGAATAAGATGACAATAAAACCATGCCTGTTCTATCCCATCCTGCTAACAGCAGACATCACATTTCTGAGTCTTCATGTTTTCATCTTTGACTCAGCCGGGTACAGTGAATCACTTGGCCTTCTGTCTCCATCTGGGAAAAGGAAGGTAAATCAGCAGCCCAGGGTGGGCAAGTCCAGAGGGTGGAGATACAGCGGCGACATTCATATTTGGAATATATTTTAACTATGGTCATTAAAGTATGCTTACCACATGCATTTTCAAGTTCAGCTTTCCCAAACAGATTTGAAAAGGCCATATACCAAAAAAACATTAGTGCTACAGTATAAGCAAGAGTTAAGAAGAAGCATCTCACTGGACAGGACAGATCATGCAGTGATACCAGAATAGAAACACTGGGAAGCTGTGGCTGCTGGAAAAATAAACTGAGTTGCAGAGATACCAAGGGTTTTAATTTTTTTAATTAAGTAAAACTAGACAGAACAGGTCATAGAGTCATAGGAGAAGTTCATATTGTTCTCAGCTTCAGCCATCATGACACATGGCAGCTTCCGCTTTAACACAGAGTCATTTAGCCCTTTGCCACTTCTCAGTGATGTAGGTTACATTTTGTGTTTAACTAACAGTGTTAGTGACCAAGACTTTGCCTAGTCCATGATAGGAACTGACCCAGGTCCGGAATGAATGGTGCTTCCTTTGGGGTGCATAGAACCCCTAAGTTTCATGGATACAATGCAAGCTTTAGGGTAACAGTGAAGATATTCAAATATTTTCTCCATCTTCAGTGCCTAAGAAGGTTGTAGATGTTGAAATTTAGTATCAGGACACTATCTTTATTGGCCACTAAGTGATTCACAACTTGTTGCAACACAATTGCCAGACTGAATTTCTCAAAAGTTAATGTGCAAACAAAAGTTAAATCTCTTGGGGA